TATACATTTTCAAGTGTGACAGAAAGAAATGAACAAAAAAGTGGCTGACTCCCTCCTTACCAGCAAACATGTTCGTCACTCCAAATTCTTTTCCCAAGGGAATCACTGTATTTTTTTTTGGGGGGGGGGAGGTTTTTGCTATAGGGAGTGTGCGCTAGCCAGACAGAGACAGAAAGAGAGAAATCACCCCCCCAGGGGGATGGCCTCGCTGCAACCCCTTCTCCTCCATTCTCCTCTCAGGATCTTGGGCACGCACATGCATGCACCCAGCGTGAGTTTAAGCCATGAGGTCCAGGACTCAAACCACAGTAGACAACATGGGAGTCCAATGACATGACCATTACACCAACTGCTGGTCCCCAGAAAAGTCTTGATAGATTTTTTTGAGAGGTTTTCGCTATAGGGCGCATGCGCTCGCCACATAGACAGAGACAGACAGAGAGACAGAAAGCGAGAAATCACCCCCCAGGGGGGATAGTCACACCGCAATCCCTTCTCCTCCATTCTCCTCTCGGGATCTTGGGCATGCACGCACATGCGCCTGGCGGGGGGTTTAAAGCCACCGGGTCCGGGATGCGAACCATGGTCGACTACGTGGGAGTCCAGAGACATAGCCATTACGCTAACTGCTGGTTCCCGATACATTTTTTCATAAAAGAAATAAATCATGACTTTACCGAAAAGTGTGTATATAAATAAATAAATTTTGGTTTTTGCTATAGGGCACATGCACTTGCCAGAGAGAGGGAGGGAGAGAAAAAAAGAAATCACCCACAAAAGGGATAGTCATGCCACAATCTCTTCAGGATTTTTCTTGGGATTTTGGGCGTGAATGCACATGTGCCTGGCGTGTTTTTCAAGCTGCCAGGTCCAGGACTCAAATCACACAGGCAACCATGCGAGACCCAGTACCTTAAAACCTTCATGCGTGGGGCGACCAAGTGGTGTGGTGGTTAAAGGCACTGGGCTCCCACATGGCCAACCACGGTTCAAGTCCTGGACCTGGTGGCTTGCTTTCTTACTTTCCTTCTCACTCTGTATCTGTCTGGTCAAAATTAAAATAAATAAGTAAATAAAGGAAGTTAAATAAAAAAGAATTCTAAATAAATAAATAAACCTCCATGCATAGCGGTTAAGGGCACTGGACTCCCACATGGCAGACTACGGTTTGAGTCCTGGACCTGCTTGCTTTCTCACTTTCTCTCTTTCTCCCCATCTCACTCCACGTGCGTTTCTCTCTCTCCTGGGAGAAACAAGCTCAAGTAAAATCTTATTTTGCTATAATAGGAGGACCTTTATTAAGGCCCTCTTATTCAATACCTTCTTTTTGAAAAACAAACAAACAAACAAACAAACAGATTTTTGCCATAGGGTATGTGTACTTGCCAGAGACAGAGACAAATTGAGAAATCACTTCCCAGGGAGGATGGCCATGCTGCAGGTCCAGGACTGGAGCTATAGAGTCAGCTATATGGGATTCAGCGCCTTAACCACCATGCCACCAGCTGGCTACTGAGGATAAATATTAGGTTGTTGGAAAAGTCACAATGCATTTTTGTATAGAAAAACACAGAAAAAAAAAAATGACTTTTTCAACAACCCAATATTTTTAAGCCACTGAATGCCCAAAAGTGTCTTTTCCCTTCATATTTTGAATAAAAACTTTAGTTGAAACAGAATTCTTCCCTTTTGTTTAACTGCCAGAGGACACGCGACCTCACCAGAGAGAAAAGAACCCTGTAATGGGACACAGTCATGCTGGAATCCCTTCTCCTCCATTTCTGCACCCTGTTGGGAGTTTGGAAATGCACATAGACATGCCCAGCCTGCTTTTCAAGGTGTCTGGGCCAGGTTTGAACCATATATTGGCCATGTGGGATGTGGTTCCTTAACCAATAGGATACATGGCCGTCTTAGGACAGAATTCTTTTTTTTTTTTTTTAGAGAGATTCTTTTGCTACGGGGTGCATGTGCTCTCCAGAGATAGAGAGAAATCACCCCATGGGAGAATGGCCATGCCACAATCCCTTCTCCTCCATTTCCCCCTCAGGACTTTGTGCACACATGCACACGTGCCCAGCATTGAGTTTTAAGCCACTGGGTCTGGACTCGAACCACAGTTGACTACGTGGGAGTCCAGTGACGTAACCATTACACCATCTGCTGGTCCTGGACATAATTCTTAAACTCCTGTACTTTCTATTACCCACCTACATATACTCCAATTTTCACTGTTGTAGGAAGACCAATTTTCTTTTCTTTGTAGCATCCTGTTTGAGAGCTTGAGGTATTTTAACACTTAAACTTACCAGGTTTTGGTTAGACAAGAATAATTTCCTATTAATGCCCAGCAAATCCTTTCAATTTACAAACCCAAATCTTTATTGAATTATGTCTTTCGGTATTTTTTCCCTCTTGTAATGCCTCTCAGACATAATAGTTTCCAAGAGTATCCTTTAATCTTGTCTACAAAAAGTCTTTTAGGGTTTTTTGAGTGGTTTTTGCTATAGGGCGCGCACACTCGCCAGAAAGACAGACAGCAAACGAAAAATCACCCCCAGGCAGATGGCCATGCCACAATCCCCTCTCCTCCATTCTCCTCTCAAGATCTTGGGCACACGCACACACACACACACACACACACACACACTCACTCGGCGTGAGTTTAAGACACTGGGTCCAGGACTCAGACTGCGATCAATTACATGGGAGTCCAGTGACATAACCATTACACCATCTGCTGATTCCTATAACCCTAATTTCATTTGGAGTGTAATAAGGGTAATTAGGTGAGAGTAAGGATGGACTGTCATTATTGATAAAAGATTAAGCACATCAAAAATGCCATCTCAATTTATACAAACAAAAAATAAGAAAAAGAGGCAATTCAGGCCCTGTCATCCTGTGTCATCCAATATGACAATCATTTGCTTTATCTAGCTATTAGGTTATTGAGAAAGTCATTATCATTTTTGCATAGAAAAATACAGCATGACTTTACTGAAAACCTAATATTTAATTAAAACAGCCACATTTCAGGAGCTGAATAGGCACATGTGGCTAGTACTACCTGAACAGATAGAACTGCTCTAAACAATGAAATTAGGGGGAAAATTTTTGAGTTATTAAAATTGAACCCTAGCTCATCAAATACAAACTATTTTTAAAAAACAAGTATTTATTTTATATTTTTGTCACAGGGCACATGCACATGACAGAGAGGAAAAGTGAGAAACCCCCCTGTCCCACTTCCAGGGAGGATGGTCCTGCTGCAATCCTATCTCTTCCATTCTCCTGTTGGGATTCTGGCCAAGAAATGCACTCAGCGTGTCCCTCAAGCCACTGGGTCTGGGATTTTATAGTAGAGTTGACCATGTGGGATCCAGTGCCTTAACCACCACAGCATCTGCTGGTCCCCAAATGCAAAGTGTTAATGTAGCTATGCATAAAGTGGTCTAGATCACAAAAGCATTGGCTTAGATCATTTTCATTTCAGACAAGAGTTAGAAGAACTAGGTTCAAATGCCACCTAGGTCACTGATCACTTAGAAGACCACTGATGTGTCACTAAATTACATGCAGCACAGTAAAATAGCTAATCATACAACCTTTGGACTACTTGGATTTGAATTCCAGCTCTTACCAACTGTGTGACATTGGGCAAGTTACTTCACTTCTCTCATTTGTTATCTTCATTTTACAGTAGGGCCTACCTTCTGGAGATGCTGAATTAAATCTGTTAATATTTGTAACAGCACTCAACAGAAGTATTTGCTAAATAATCTAACAAGCCTTTCAAGCTTCTATTTCCTCAATTTCAAAATGGGCAAGATAAAACTTGCTCTGCTTATGTCCAAGGTTGTCAAGTTAGTGAGTGCGAAAAGTCTGTAAATTACTACAAGATGGTAATCACAGATGTTATCAGATTACTAGGGAACAAGAGCCTTATTTTCTACCTCTTTAATCTTCCACAATATCCACTAAATGGTTGTGCTAACAGTGAACATTTAAATTAAAATATTTTCACTAAAAATCGAGCATCTGGGGCTGGCAGGTGGCATGGTGGTTAAAGGTGCTGGACTCCCATGTGGCCAACCAGTCCTCATCCCAGACTGGGTGGCTCACTTTCTTACTCTCTGGTCAAATTGAAAAATAATGATAATTAATAAATAAATAAATATTTCCTGGGGAAAAAAAATAAAAGTGGAGCATTGAGGCCACCAGGTGGCACGGTGGTTAAGGGCACTGGACTCCTACATGACTGACAATGGTTCGAGTCCCAGACCTGGCGGCCTGCTTTCTCTTTCTGTCCCTCCTTGGTCAAATTAAAATAAATAAAGTTAAATAAAATAATTCTTAAGAACAGTAAATACTAAGAGTCTCCTCTAAAATTCTTATAGACTGGGCTGGCTCTGTGATGCAGTGGTAATGTGCTGCTCAAGAGAAGCTGGATCTCACAAGATGATTGTGGTTGGAGTCTGCTCCATACAGCCTGAAACATGGTGGGAACGTGGGGGTGTGCCCAAGATCCAATGGGCTAGAGGGCAGGAGGAAGATCCTGGGGTGAGAAGCAGTGACCTGTGGAGATTGTTCATATCTCTCTTTCTCCCTCTACTCTCATGTGCACCCATATACATTCTATCATGAGTAAAGGTTTTATAGACCCTTTTCCAATCTGCAAACATAACCTACAACAGATGAAATTTCAAAGGCCATTTAATAATAAGCAATCCAACACCTGATTAACTGGTCAAATGAAATTTGTGAAAAACAATGTCACCAAGATACAAGATTAGCCAGCACAGGCAAAATGGGTATTTGTCTTTTGTTAAAACAAACGCAAAAGGTTGTTCACTATATCAGACTTTCTCCCAAGACCAACTTGGAGCCAGATTCTTTCGTGAGTTTGGAGTTTGTGTGAGGAGATGGGACTGCAAAATCAGGGAAAGCAAGACAAAAGGGAACAGACAAGAAATATCATTAGAAAATATCACGGCTACCTGCTGCAACAAATGGCTTGAAAACGTAACTCCACACCATTCGCCTCCTTTCTTTGGATGTAGTAGGGAGCGAGTAAGCTCGGACTACTATAAAAAACTAAGAGGACCAGAACCAAAGAATGTGAACTATTACTGATGAGTCCTTAAAGTTCATCTAGCTCTAATCCCTCCCAGAGTAATGATTCCCGGTACCAGAGACAAAGGTCCACTCATTCGAAGTACGGGATACAACACAACTAAATACAAGGGGTTCAGTTGCCGAATAAGTGACGGAGAGCCCAGAAAGATACTGGCCCATCGACCGTTGCATAGAGGCCCCCTCAGGACGATTCCAGTTCTCCAGTTCCTCCACCCCTTTCTCTCCCCCCACCACAGCCACAGCAGGGGCGCGCACGCGCAGCAACTAGGGGCTGCGCGTGGCGACGCGCAGGCGTAAAATGGGTAGAAACAATGAGCTTTGTTGCCGAGGCTGTCGTAGGGAGCAGGGGAAAGGGTTCGGGGGAGGGGGAACAAGGGCGGGAGAAGGGACTTGGGGGGGTTGGGGAACACGAGAAAGTGCTATCCCAGCAACCCTCGCGCGCCTTTAAGGACCCGGATAGAGCTGCGAGATCCAAATCATAAATAATAATGACAATGAGGAAAAAAAGAGACGGCCATTTCGCAGAGAAGAGACCCAGTCGGCCGAACCTCGACCCTTAGACTCGGCGAAAAGCGGCAAGAGACAACGGAGGCCACACGGGGCTCGATGGCCAACAACCCGGGTACCCATTAGGCCCCTCAGCCGTCGCTGAGGTGCCTCCTCAGCTGAGGCCGCCGCACCCCTCTTGCTGCTCCGCCCGCGGGGACCCCTCACCCAGTGCACGGCAGCGGGGACGGCAGCCAACGAATCCTGTCGGCCTCCGCGGATCTCCACAGGCAGCGCCGCTCCCCCGCTCGACGTGCGCTTCGCCCGCCGCCTCCCTTCTCCAGTCCAAACAAACACCCCAGCCCGGAAGTGACTTCACTTCCGCCACCACTGGCCACGCCCTCTCGTTCTGTCAGCGCGACTCTCCGAGGCCGCTAGAGAGCGCGCGAGAGAACCCGGGATCCCGAAGGTTTCGTCGTCTCCCAGGGTGCACACGTGTGTAAGACCAGCTGCCTTTACCCAGGCGCCCGCTGGGGGTGTACCGGGGTTTCATCGCGTTCTGAGTGATAGAGGGACGAGTCGCTCTTTGTATTTATTTATTTATTTTAAATTTATTTTTATTTATTTATTTACAGCCATTCACTGTACCTCAATACAGTATACATTGTATATTAGCTCGATCAAGGATATTACCGTACATAATTTTCTATTTCTTGTTTCTTATATATTTTGCTTTTTTTCACCTCTTAATTCTCTACCTCTCAGCCTCTGCCAACTCCTTCCTTCTCCCACACTGTCTCTGGTATATACAGTTGTTTCCCATGCCTTTTTTTTTTTTTTTAACATTTTATTGGTTCAATAAAGATCTTAATTTAAAGACTTTAAGTATCAAGCACAGCTGATAGATACATATTTAAGAACTGGATGTCTGACTTTAGGCGTAAACCTCAGTGAGTCAAAGTGAACTTACTATAAAGTAGCACCTCCTTGGGTCTATATTGCTTACTGTTGTCATTAATAAGTATTTTTAATGCATTTTTTAATTTAAAAAAAGTTGTACTTTTTTATGTTTTTTGGGGGGGTTTGTTTTTTGAGATTTTTTTTGCTATAGGGCACTTGTGCTCAGCAGAAAGACAAAGAAACAGAGAGACAGAAAGCGAGAAATCACCCCTCAGAGGGGATGGCCAGGCTACAATCCCTTCTCCTCCATTCTTCTCTCGGGATTTTGGGCACTCATGTGCGTGCGCCCTGTGTGAGTTTAAGCCACTGGGTCCAGGATTCAAACCACGGTTGACTACAAGGAGTCCAGCAACATAGCCATCACACCAACTGCTGGCCCTAAAAGTTGTAGTTTTAATAGAGCCAAATCAAAAACTGTTAAGAGAAATTTGCATAAAACTTAAAGCCAAGAAAAAGATTAGGATTAAGTTCAAATAGTAGGTAGATGAACCTATCAACAGTTCAAGAGAAGACAAAAATCCTTAAATATGAAAATCAAAGCATTGAAGAAAGTCATGTTTTAGTCTAAAGTCAAAAAAATTCCATTTCACTAGTTCAGACTCACATGATTATCTCTCTTATATTGAATTTGCATTGTTGCAATGGTCTGCTGATCTTTTCATTTAAACTCTGGAAGTTAACATTCAACTCTGGACTTGTCCCTACCATTACTCTGGGCATGAGAAGGGACGAGTTGCTCTTTACCACAGCTTTCATCCTTCAAGAACGATGGGATACAGTGAGTGGGGAAGTAGGGGACGGGAATATTTTGATAATATACAAATGTGGACTCACAAACCCGCAGATACACACACAAAAACACAGGTAAGCAGACGCCAAAGAGTAACATCTAGATCACAACATATGCACCCAGACATACACTCTGAAAGTGACACCTGGTATCACACAGTATGTGCCAAGTCATCAAAATTCTGTCTTGGGGAGCCAACAGGTGGTATAGTGGTTATGTTGCTGGACTCCCACATGTTCCACCACAGTTTGAGTCTGGCAGCCGGACCTGGCAGCTTCAAATTCATGCTAGGCACGTGTGCCTGTATGCCCAAAATCCCAAAAGGAGAATGGAGGAGAAGGGATTGCACTGTGGCCATCCCCACTGGGGCAGGAGTGAGGGGGAGATTTCTCGATTTCTGTCTCTTTTCTTCTCTCAGACTTTCCAGCGAGCACAAAAGCCCTATAGCAAAATAATCTCTAAAATAAAAATAAATAAATAAATAAATAAATAAATAATTCAGTGGGCCAGCAGTAGACATAGTGGTTAAGGTGCTGGATTTCCACGTGGTTGACTGTGGTTCGAGTCCCAGATCCACAGCTTGAAACTTCATGCCTAGCATGTGTGCATGTGTGTCCAAAATTTCAGAAGGAGAATGGAGAAGGGACTGCTGCATGATCATCCCCCTTAAGGGGGTTTCTCCTTTTCTGGGTCTCTCTCCTGCAAGTGCACACGCCCTTTGGGAAAAGAAAATGAGACTGGGAAATAGGTACAAAGAATTATCTCTTAATTGTCTTGTAAAATTCCAATTTTTTTTTTTTGAGAGATTTTCACTGTAGGGCGCGTGCGCTCGCCAGACAGACAGAGAGAGACATAGAGACAGAAAGCGAGAAATCACCCCCCCAGGGGGGATGGTCATGCCGCAATCCCTTCTCCTCCATTCTCCTTTCGGGATCTTGGGCACGCACGCACACGCGCCCGGCGTGAGTTTTAAGCCACCGGGTCTGGGACACGAACCGCGGTCGACTACGTGGGAGTCCAGCGACATAGCCATTACGCTAACTGCTGGTTCCCTAAAATTCCAATTTTTTAGAGTCAGCAGGTAGCTTGGCAGTTGGGGGCTCAGTCAATCACATGACTGATTGAAGTTCGAGTCTCAAACCTGGTGGCTCGCTTTCTCACTTTCCCTCCCTCTTTGTCCCTCTCTGGTCTGGCCAAATTAAAATAAAGTTAAATAAAATAATTCTTTTTATTTTTTTTTAAGAATAACAACAGTAAAATTAAGTGAACTGGAAAAAAAAAAACACGTTGGCTAGTAGGTGGCAATGTGGTTAAGGTGCTGGATCTCATATGCAGGGGATGTGGGATGTGTTGTTTTGAGTTCCAGACACAGTGGCTTGAAAATCATGCTGGGTGGACCAGCAGTTAGCGCAGTGGCTATGTCGCTGGACTCCCATGTAGTCGACCACAGTTCAAGTCCGAATCCAGTGGCTTAAACTCATGCCAGGCATGTGTGCGTGCATGCCCAAGATCTGGAGAGGAGAATGGAGGAGAAGGGATTGTGGCATGGCCATCCCCCCTGAGGGGATTTCTCGCTTTCTTTCTCTCTGTCTCTTTCTGGCGAGCGCACGTGCCGTATAGCAAAAACCTCTCCAAAAAAAGAAGGAAAAAGAAAAGAAAATCATGCTGGGCACATGTCCATTCATAACCCAAATCCTGAGAATGGATGAGTAGGGATTGCAGTGTGGCCACCCACCCTAAGGAGTGATTTCTCACTTTCTTTCTCTCTCTGGCAAGCACACACACCCTATACCAAAAACAAACAAACAAACAAACAAACCGAGCATGTTGGTAATATCTACTAAAACTTAAAACATAACAAAAATCCCTCCATGGGAAGGCTTGAATCCAATTACAAGGTTACTTCTCTTCAGGGCCATCATCCATTAAAAACTGTTTTTGAGCCTATCCAAATCCTCAGAGAAATTAACAAAAGTGTTCTGCTTTAGCCTCTGGGCCAACCACTTCTGTCACATTTATTTGTATTTTAACCTGAGAGGAAGAGTTTAGCTTGGTCTCTTGATGAGCATGTAGTTCTGAGAATACAGACTTGTCAGTCTGCAAAGTATGATTCATCCACAAGATTGCTGGTGAGGCATTTGGAATATAAATTATCAGTCCCAGAGATATGAACACTACAAAATCGGCATTACCCAGATACTTAAAGCTAAATATGATAACTAAGCATGTTACTTGGTATAACACAAACCATTTTATTATATAGTATTAAAAAAAGGTATTATTCGTGTGAACCACCAAAAATCTATGTTGTTTTTCTCACACAAATGGGTTAAGATCACAATTCCCGGGTCACAGTGGTAGTTCACTATTGTGGATTAGAAAGCTTGGGGGTTGGCAGGTGGTGTGGTGGTTAAGGGTGCTGGACTCCCACATGGCCGACCACGGTTCAAGTTCCGAACCTGGCAGCTTTCTCTCTCTCTCTCTCCCTCTCTCTCTCTGTCCCTCTCTGATCAAATTAAAATAAATAAAAATGAAAAAATGAATAAAGTTAAATAAAATAATTAAAAAAAAAAAAAAAGGTGCTGGACTCCAAAATGGCCAACCACAGTTTGAGTCCCAGACCTGGTGGCTTGCTTTCTCACTTTCCTTCTCTCTCTCTGGTCAAATTTTAATAAATAAAACTAAATAAATAAAAAAGAATTATTTATTTTATTCATTCATTCATTCATTTTGTAGTTTGAGCAGAGAGAAACAGAGGGTGTGAATGAGAGAGAGAGGAAGTGAGAAAGCAAGCCACCAGATTCAGGACTTGAACCCTGGTTGGCCATGTGGGAGTGTCCAGCGCCTTACCCACCACGCCACCTGCTGGCCCCCAACTAAATAAATAATTCTTTAAAAAAAAAAGCTTGATGGGCCCAGCACTTCCTTGGCATTCTCTGGACACAAAGGCCCTCTGTTAACTTATACAATTGGTAGTAATGCTATGCTTTGGTGGTGGTGGTGATGATTTATAATGGAAAACACCATCAGAAGAACAGAGGCTAACAAGTTTGCTAATGGTGAGGACAGATATGCAATGGGAGCAGCAGAAATCTACTTTTGAAGTGCAAAAGTGGGGCTAGACAGTGGCATAGTAGGAACACTGCTCTTTGAGGCTGTCCCACATAGGAAGCTTTCCTGTCCAGAGACCTTGAGTCCACTGGGCACACTCATTCCTATGAAACAGGGCTGGCTGTTGCTGGGGTCGGTTATAGTGTCAAAACCCTGTTGTGGGTGATGAACTTTAAAAAATATTGCTGGGGTGGGACAAGCAGTTAGCGTAATGGCTATGTTGCTGGACTCTCATGTATCTGACTGCGGTTCAAGTCCCAGACCCGGTGGCTTAAACTCACGCCGGGCGCATGTGTGTGTGTGCCCAAGATCCCAAGAGGAGATTGCAGGAGAAGGGAATTGTGGCCATTCCCCTGCGTGATGATTTCTCGTTTTCTGTCTGTCTCTCTCTATTTTTCCAGTGAGTGCACACACCCTAGAGTGCATGTTCCCTATAGCAAAAATAAACCTCTCAAAATATATATATATATTGCCGGGGTCAGAGCTGGCAGGTGGTGTGGTCGTTAAAG